ATTTTTTTTGAAAATTGGATGAATCCTAGCGTGACGGTGAAATGGTTAATGAAGCGTGAGTAATTGGGGTACGGGTATCGGCCGCGTTGGGACCCAAGGCCCATTGTTCTTCGTGACGCCGACGCAGTGATCAGGAGCGTGGGGACGAGAGGGCTTAGTGGACTCCTGTATGAGCCACGTTTAGCAAATGGTCTAATGAGTCTCGAGGCTCATCACAGATTGCACTTACCACTATCCTGGTGGCCCCGGCTATCAGAGCAAGGAGTACCAACTTTTGAAAAGGATAACAGTGTTGTGGAGATATGTCAAAGCAACGTTGTGAACAAAACGGAGTGAGTGAAATTCTCATTCAAGGAGTGCCGAACTGGTCAGCCATCCTCGAATCAGTTCGCTTGCTTCCGCTTATATATGCATATTTTAAATCAGCGCGCCCCATTCTAAGGTTTTTTTAAAAAAAACCAAGAAACGTAGACTCTTGGTATTCATTACACATAAACTAGCGAGCCCCAGAATGAGAAACAAATTTTAATCATTATTATTGACGGATTAGTAAACTTTTTACACGCTTTGGAAAATCTCAGAAGTTCGCGGTAGTCACTTTTCGGTAAGGAACTAGGGGACTCGGTTATTGTATCGAGGGGGGGGTCGAAACGATCGCAAAGGCGGTATACTACGTATACGCGCAAAAAAAAAAAAAAAAAACCCGGATGGACGATTAATCAGTGGAAGGGAATCGCCAAGCTTCAACCTCGTTCACGCACACGAGTTATACATATGCATAAAACCCTTCAATTATACCCGTCACATTACTATGTATCCCCGACCGTAACAAAGTGCGACGTGAATAATTGCACGAAAATCTTGAGGAGCTTAATTATAAGGAAAGCTCAGGTTTTTCTCGGCTGCAATTTTCTGAACATTTCACACGAGCGGTGACTAAACGCCCCTATGGCGTGTCACGCGGACATTCCTCTATATGGGGTCGCAGCGTTCCGGGCTTTCCTTCTTCCCTGTGAATAATTTTCCAATTTTTCTTCCTACGTGTTTGGGAACATTTAATCCATTTGATCTAGGTACCTAATCATCAATTTGTAATTGATCTGAGTTGCCAAGTCATTAAGAATGAAAATAATACAAGCAGCTATTTGGCTCTCAATTGCACTTGTAGACAAGAAAATATTTTCTGAGCAGAAATATTTGCCTATCCACTCGCATTCTATCTCTTACCTCACAAATTGACCGGACAATTATGATTCTAGCTCTCCTTTCCTCTTCAAATATCTATGATTTATCATAAAAATACTATAAAGCAATATTTCTTTCCCAATTTTCTTCGCGTAAACAATGTTTCCACGTTGTAGATGCGGAAACTGCCATTGCTTTGGAATCTAAAACTGGACTACATTTTGCAATTAAGAACTAAAATGTGTGCCTCATTCATAAAAACGCTTATTTGCATTGGGAAATTAACGGCACACACGTTGTTTTTAGACTGACAATGAGCCGGAATCCTAGTTGCAAAATGTAGTCCAACTATCAATGGTGACTTTCATACAGAGGACCCACGAATTAAGTACGCCATTCGCCCTCAGACCAAAAAAGCACGTCGTACACTTTACATCGCAATAATCTATGGCTTTAAATGATCGAATGTTAGCGCCGGCGCTTGACCGGCGACGACCCCTAGATTCGAGACTAGGTCCGTCGCGTCGCGACGCACTGATGCGTGATAGCAGCCAGTCAGGAAAAAAGCACTTAACGTCGCTTTCAGGTGTCCCCCGGAAATCTCCCTCATTAGTCTTAAATAAATCACCACCAATGAAGTGGATTCAGGAAGAATCCGTGTTCAAGTATCCGTTTATTTTAATGATAATTTCAAACTCCCACACAGGGTGTAGGAAACGGTAATGTCGCACGCATAAAACTATACATCATTGCTGAAGTCTTGCACAGTTTACTTGAAGTTGTTATCAAATACAGTATTCGTAATGCTCTGATGTTAGTTCTTCGTGTTCTTTTGCAACTTCACTTCTCACCGGTAATCGAAATATATTTTTTCCTTTTTTTGCAGATCAAAATGGGTCTCACTTTAAAATACAGTTTTGCTCTCCTCTCCTTATGTTCCTGCGCCTTGGCCGCCGCCCCTCAAGTTAGCAACGGATACTATAGTAAGTTTTTGTATTTTAATATTTTTTACCACCCACTTTACACGATGGTAAATTGGTAACATGATATCCCGCGAATTTCCTCATTAAGTGATCTGCCTCAAAAAACTTGAAGAGCGTTAAAAATTTTAGTAAATATACTTCATCTCTATTCAGTTCTAATATTTCTAATAATAATTGAAGCGTTTTCTGAAAATTTGGAAAATCGCTGCTGGGGTCTGATGTTATATTTATATGTCTTATCATGTAGGTACTTGGGATATAATATATTTCAATTTTGTAAACATTATCAATCTGACGCGCGTTACTCCACATTTCACTACATATTGTCAGCATTGCTTGGCATTGAAATTAATATTTATAAAAAATTAAAAACTTTACAATATACGTCAAACTTTAAAAGTGGCTCTATTAATATGTTTGGAAGTAAGCAGTATTTTCAGGTTTTTCAACGTTTCTTTTCCTTGTATTTTTTATTTTTATTTACTTTTTTTATATATAAAATGCTCATTCGGACAGATCTAACTCGTATCTCAAAAACTAGGCCCTCAGCATAAGAAAATAGTAGAGGAAATGAGGAAATAATATCATATATCAATAATATCAATTAAAGGAATCGTTAGAAATCTTTTAACGCTCCGTAAATGCGGATGTTTGAGGAATCGCGATTTTACAGTTTATCTTAGAACTTTTGACTCTTTGTTCGGAGGAAGGCAAATCACAAATATAATAATTTTTCCTCAGCCAGAAATGGAATAGACAAAAGAAGGAAGTGTGTATAATTTTTTCTCCGTAGCATATTTTTTTTTCTCTGCGTCCGCGCGCCCCAACTGCTCTTCAAGCGACGGCCGATGGGCCTTTTAAAAGACATAACAGAACTGTCAAAGATAGAAAAAGTGGTTTGTCGATTGGTGTGGCACACTGAAGAATACCTACAAACTTCATTTCTACCAACTTCCTCAGAAAAAATAAAATCAGATTTGTCCAGTCCTCGCCCATTCTTTCCTCGTAGAAACAGAAGCGATGAATATGTTATGCACAACTGAAAGTTCCAGAAGAGACTAGCAATTAGGTAAAAATTTGACCTGATTTATTCAAATTGCATGCTGGAAGGATTGGACTAATCTTTCTTTAAGAAGACGTACGAAAGGAATAGATATGAAGTTTTTCGCAAAGGTTTAAGGAATCATCCATATCGTCGCTCCTCTGACGAGAGAGCGAACCTTGATTTCCTTTTGAGCCTTCTTCTCCGTATAAAACTCTGCTTTTCGCGGCTCATGTAGGAATTCAGATACGCCCTTACTTCAGAGGATTGACAATATGGGGGACAGGCACATCGGCGGATCAGGAGATTAGGAACTAGTGGTGAAGATTTACGATTATCTGTCAGGAAATCATATGACATTAAAGACTGCTTGTAAGATATAATTTGTAAGTTGTTTTACCACCAGCATATTTCAGTTCCATAAATTTGCTTTAAGTAACTATCAAGTCGCGAAAATGGCGGTACTGATTTTGACAGACTTGGCCCTTGGCCGAACCGTACAATTTTGTCGAACCATCTCGAACGAAAAGCGGCAGATCTCTTAGTTAGACTATATTTTAACATCTGTTTTAGTAACCAACCGGCTCGTTCATTTTTACATAGTAGTGGGATATTTTATTTTCGTCTCTTTCTGTAAAAGTGCTTATACTGACTTTATATTATACTGCGTTAGCTGAAGTATTCCCTCTTCATCTTGAAACAAGTTACAGCGTTGCTTCACTGTGCTCTACTTAAATTCATTGAGGGCAGGCATTCAAGCAAGTACATAATATGTATAAGAGAATTCATGCTCTTAATTGTTCTTATCATTTTGGTGGGAGCTCTAGGGATAAATGGTTTATTTTGCAATTTCAACCAGTTTTTGAAAAAAAGATATGGCGATCCATCCCTTCATTTCAGGGAGAGAAAATAAGCAAGTGAGAGCAAAACGAGTTCCTCCTGAATGATTCGTTCGAGAATTTTTTTACCGTTACCTAGCGAGACAATTATGGAAGAGTGAATGAAAATTCCGTCAAAATAGTCATGAAATTTTTGTTTCTGCTCGTGTTTAATTTTGATCTTCTTTTTTCAGCTTGGTACAAGAAACCTTGCAAACAAAATGATGCAAAATTCACCGACTGCCTACTCAAAACAGCGAGGGTGGGAGTTGTAGAATTAAAAAATGGTGAGTGCATTTTTTGGCTTGATCAGTATGGTTACTGGCGACTTTTTTTTTGTCATGACGGTACTTTGTTTGAGATAAATTAGAGTAGAAAATTGCACCTAAATTCGTGTTACATTTTCTTAATTTTAGCCTTTAAATCACCGATTTTTTTTTGTTGAAATGTCCAAATTGGATTCAATGTAGGAGCAAACATTTGTAAATTGCCTGATCCTTATTCATGACGCACACCTTCCTATAAGAGACTCAATTTTTTGATGGGTGTGTTGAATGACCCAAAATTCTGAATTCTCCACATGTTTCCTGCAAGCAAGCTTAGTTAAAAAGCATATTCCCAACCTTTTTACAAAGTAGTTCAATGTATTGGAGATACCTATATCACAAACATGCTCTCTCTTATGAGTCAACCCCAGGCAGTGGCGTGGCGTGAATTGCGATATATCGATTGTTATGCCATTTAAACCTATAGAAAAGGATCGATAAACAGGGTGTTCGCAGCGAACACCTTAATAATCGATTCTTTACCATAGCTTCAAATGGCGAGATATCGATAATCGATTATTCACGCCACGCCACTGACCCCAGGGGTCGCTTGCGAGATCACAATCTGAGTGAAGAACTAAGAAAAAAATAAGAGTGATTTTTTCTTTGATGCAGGTGACAGCAAACGGCATTTGCCTTCCATAAACCCATTCTTTTTGCCAAAAATGGAAATCACTACCGGGTCTGACCAGGTCGGTCTCAAGTTCAAGATGCAAGATGTCAACATCCATGGACTCCCGGACATCCAATTCCTGAACATCAAGTAAGTTTGATTTCAATCAAATAATGTAGCATCTTTTAAAATTAATTTCAATAGCTTTATATCAGTTTTTATAATAGTTTAAATAACTTTAGTCTACAGATCCTTTATTCTGTTTTTAAAACAATACATTTTAAATGTGTGAAGCATGAACGTGCGACAGCAAATCAATGTGTACGTGGAAAAAAAGAAAACGAGAGGAGGAAAAGAAAATCAATATTAATTTGCTCAAATTATAAGAAAAAACATCCATTAGCCAGTACCTTTGAATTGCTGGTAGATCCAAACATTAAAACTTTAGAGATGACGTCATCCGCCGTATTCATCAAAGAGCCATTTACTAGCACCGTTTATACTGGGCGTAGAAACTGCATATTAGTACGTGATTTATGATTTATGAGATAGTATGTGAGGTATAATTGGATTACATTTTGCAATAAGGAACCACTATTTCTGGCCCATTTCAGAAACAACTTACATGCCATTGGTTTCCCTATGCAGATATGTGCTTTTATGGGAGAGCTAGAGATAGTGGTTCCTTATTGTAAAATGTAATCCAATTGTGACTGTGTGTTGAGATTTATTATACATTTTGATGAGATTCAGACTTTAAAACATGATTCCTCAATACCCTTGATTATCTACCATTGGACTCATTGAATTTTTGAATTTCAGAGGGGACGAAAAAATTCACAAATATGAATGGGTGATTCAGACAAAAACGATCAACCTCGATGGAAACTACATTGCTGGTGGCAAAATTCTGATCCTTCCGGTTGTAGGAAACGGAAAATTCCAGTTCTCCCTAAGTAAGTGATCCTTGGCATTATATTTGGACATGTTTCAAGACTAGCATTTGAGGCAAAGATGGAGACTTACAGTTTTGAGTTCTCAACATTTTTTAGAACTAGTAACACTCAGTACCCTTTTTTTGCTATTCAATGGTGTATCGAGTAAATGGCAAAATAAGTGAGCCATCTCTAGTAAGCGTTCAAAAAAGATAGATACAAATTTTTAAGAGCAGCCCAAGACATGATAACAGAGGAAAAAACAAGGAGGAAAAACGGGAAACAAGGCTAAAAATACACAATTAATTAAACCCGAGACGTTTCATTCAAAAGTGAGTCATTTCCAGTCGGAAACAATAAAAATTGATAAAAAAACCATAAAAATCAGGGCTTCAGTTTTATATCGTTTTTTTCTTTTAAATATTTATTGTTTCCGACTGAAAATGACTCAGTTTTGAATGAAACGTCTCGGATTTTATTAATTGTATGTTGTTGTTTGTATTTTTAACCTTGTTTCCCGTTTTTCCTCCTTGTTTTTTTTCACTGTTATCAAAAAACATATCGATGCTCTGAATTTGCACTATTCAAAGGCTGCAAAGCACATCCTGTAATTCCTGTAAGTACCCACTTTGATCGCCGGAAGACGATTGTTACGTCTAATAAATTGCACAACACGTTGCGAAACATCAAGAATAAGGTACGTGTAATTTCAAGGGTTGAGCTGTACGGAGTCTATTAAGCAAGCGTTTCCACGTGTCCTCAGGAGGCTAGAGGAGGTACTGTATCTGTCCTCCGTTGAAGATTTCGTGCCTCCTGTCTTGTAGCGACCGTTCTTGAAAGACGTCATTGTGACGCGCGCTGAAATTAAAGCTGATAATCGGAGGATCTAAACCTACACTGCGCGCCCAAGATTCATGTACTACCTATGCACAAGTGCAGCGGCAGTGCATGTGCAGCCGGATGCACCTCTGCCCTCGAGGATGAGAGCTCTCGCCCACGCATGTGAGGAAAACCGCGCCTCCGATCGGAACCGAGGTTGATGGGAGTTCCCCATGCGAGAAGGCAGAGTATCCAACATCCATTAATATTATATTTTTGGGACCTAAATTCTGCATTTTAAAGTTTCCTGTGATTAACATTCAGTGCAAGCATGAACAAGAGCGATATTCTTTGTAATTGCTACTGCAACCAATCACAAACTGATCGCGGTAAACGCGCAATTCGTGAGACAGCAGTAATTGAGAATTTTTTAGCTAACGTGCGTTAAAAATCCAAAAAAACTTCGCCGCGTTGCACTGAGGATGGGTCCAATTAGACCCGAAACGCGTTTGCAGTTGTCTTCCTGGAAGTTACGAATTCGTAACAACATACTCTTGAGATTTTAAAAATGGAATCTTTTCTCTGTGGCATAATTTTGCAAATTTTCGTTAGTTTTTTTCTTTTATTCAATAAGTGATTCTGTAAAATTTAAAAAACTTTTTTAAAAAAAATTGGTGCTTTATGTTTTTTATGCGAGCTACAAAATAGATGATTGCCCACGAAGAATCTAAGATCCAAAATTAATTCATACCATAGAGGGTTAATATCGTCTCGTTGATACCTCTCGTCTTGATGCGTACAAAAATGTGAGGATCTGCACGTGGCACGTGGCACGTATGGGTGGAAGCGCGGCGCGGGTGGATGCGCGTAACCTCGAACTTGAGACGCGCACGCGCGGTGCGTCGCGTCGTCGCTCGTTCATTGATCAAGATGATTGAATCGAGCATCGAGCAGGAGCAAAACCGCAAATTGCAAATTACGAAAAGCGCTAATTACTTGGCTCGAGCACCAGCCACCCCGCCACCTCTTCCTATTACACTTAACGAGGGAGGCGTAGTTGTCAGACAGCGATGAACAAAGACGGTGGAGTAGGCAAACCGATGACCGAAATGCGAAACCACGTATCTTCGTTTGGAACGTCGCAGGCTTTGTATCATACGCTATTATTTTTTTAAAGAACTCGTCAGAATTATTTCTTGAAAACTCTTTTGATTTTTCTTCCCTATTAGCAGAATATTTTGTTAAATTAGAAGCCAGAGAGTCCCTAGTTAAAGTGAGTCACCCTGACGTCAGGCTATGTTTCATAAACTACCCTTAGTCTGACTGATTCAGGCTGACATCAGTAAGACATCAGCCTGGATCAGTCTGAATCAGTCTGACTCAGAGTAGTTTATGAAACAAGCCTGACGTCAGGCTGATTCACTTTTACCAGGGGTTGGCTTGTTTCTCTTCTAAAAAATAAAATAGGAGCGGAAATTTTGAAACACTGTAATTGACATACGTGGTTTCACACTTTGGCCGTCGATATCCTTCCGTGCTGAGGAGACCGTCGTTTAAAAATTCGAATGTTGCCCTTTCCCCAATGGGACACAGCACACGCTTTGAAATATTTTATTTTACAAAAGTTATGAATACTCTCCCTTAAAATCCCTCTACTTTACACTTGACATTCAATTTAGTACAAATAAAGATTCCTCGAAGAATTGGACGAGAATAGTTCTTTTACCAAAATAAAGTCGTGTTTTATTGAAGGAAATTTGGCAACGGCCAGAAGGCGTTATGTCTGAGCACGGTGGTATATTAATGATGATAAGAATTGTTAAGACTGATATGAGAATATGGTGTCGGGACAAGAAAATTGAAGAACAATTGAATTGTGTCACGCCTTAATCGTTATATACCCCTCACAATGAGCGCGAATCGCCATCGTTCGCAGAAAGAAGCGGGGAGATAAGCAAAACTGAAGCGCCTTCAATTTTTCCGACATACAACTCGCACATCCTTGGTGCTGGAATAGTTGTATCCACTCATTCCAGGCGTTATCATCAATGTCGCTTCGCGCTCTTCGGCCATGATATATCCAACTGAGGATGAGAAAAATGTTTTCCATCAAAAATCCGTTTCCAAGAATCATGAACCCTTTCATTTATTTTTAGTCTCCTAAACACTATTTCCTTAGATCATAACGTTTCTCTTCAGATTTGATCCAAAATTATAATAGAAAAATCAATTAATCCCCTAGAAAATTTCGTGCAAAAAAAACTGATTACCTCATATGTATAGATTCAATTCGTTCAAAAATAACCTATGAAGCGTTGAACGCACGATTTGAATCTCTTGCCAACATTTATGGAGAGTACGTGGGAGCAAAGTGTGCAAACCTTTTATCGTGCTAATATGTCGAGATCCGGATCCTGTTATCATAAGTTACTTAAAAATCCCTTCCGAAGACAATTATGTACCTTGGTTCTAATTTTTCTCAATTTCAAAAAGAAAATGGAAAATGGCCTAGTTTTATCCTGTGACCAAGCAACACCGGACATAAGTATCCGAGCAGATCATCATCATCATCATCGGCTACGTGATAAATGAACCGGTTCGTTTGATGACTCGACGAGATTAGACGCAGCTGATAAGAGCGGTAGGCTGGGAGTAAACTGTCTCAGATGAGAATTCCATATTTTCCTCTTTTTTCCTCGATTGAATGTGGCGAAGCGCACGTGAGCGCCGCCGCCGCTAGTCTCCCAGTGGCGGCGTGCTTTGCGATATATCGATTGATCTGTCATGTAAATCTATGGAATAATATCGACAGACAGGATTTTCGCATCGAACACTAATATAATCGATTCTTTACCATAGCTTCAAATGGGAAAATATTGAAAATTGATTATTCTAGCTATTTAACTAGACTCATTATATGCTTCTCACACTAGCTTTTATAAAGCTTCTTAATCAGATATGCAAGTTATCAGAACTTAACCCTCTTTTAAAAGCGTATATATTTTATTTCTTTGATGCTAAATAAAAATTTAATAATTAATTTCCTATTCTCAATTCTACTATACATCGACCTAATCTAGGAAGATCGAACACCCACCCACATTAAAATTCTGCCCTTCGTCCAACCTAAACACCAACACGAATTACGTGAGAATACTACACACAGAGAAATGCACACCATCATGCCAAGTTCCCGTGACCCTCTCTCCCAATATTTATTCTTGCAATAGACCCATCGATGTCTATTGATATCCATCAGTGATATGGAATATACTAGGAGGGTGTGTGTCAGTCGCGTCACATGAGTGTTTGGGCGCGGGGCCAAAGCATTTGCGTCATCAGTTTAAAAAACTGGGGTCACGGCCAAGGTTTATCCAGGTTTGCCATTTTCCAGACGCGAGGACAAGGTGTCTCCGATATCATTCATCTTTAGGGGGCGAAGATTACTTCGGAGACCAGCATCGTTCTTCACCATACGATGACTGTCGAGGGTTCGATGAGATCAATTTTATCGGACCAGGGAAAATTAGATCGCAATGGGGAACTTCTTGAAGAAGTAGCATGTAAAACAACTTCAATCAAGCGGTGAGGTCTTTCGAAGATCAGAATATGCAAAAATTTCAAATTAAAAGTTATGATCATCTGAAGTAGTTTTGTGATCCCAAAGCCGAAACAAATAGGCGAGATTGCGACCAATGACATAGCACATCGTCGCTACTCTGATGTAAGAGTGTACCTCGATTTTCACGTGAGCCCTGTTCGCCTTATAATTTCATGCTTTCCTTATGCTGCTCTTATGGTACACTGAGAAAAAATTATGGTTATAATTACCATATTAGTTGTGTTCAATATGCACTCTTAATTAGTTGTGACCGTAACCAATAATAGTGATATTTTTACTGGTCAATCGTAATTTTACAAGTGTGCCGTAGTAAAATTACCGTTTGATGGTAAAAATATCTCTATTATTGGTCATGGCAACTACTAATTAAGAGTTCATACTAAACACCACTAATATGGTAATTATAACCATAATTTTTTCTCAGTGTAAAAGGAGCACGACTTCACGTCAGAGTTGCGACGTTACACCCCACATTCTAGGTGTCCAGTAAACGTACCTATTGCAAGGATTAAAAAAAGTATGTTTCGTAGAATGAAAATCGATGTGGGGTGTATTCAGCTTACAATGTACAAGGTTGCCATACTCGCTTCACAAAGTGATCGATCAGACATGACTGCATCATTATCTTTCCACCAAAGTAACGAGTTGCTCATGAATCACCATTGGACGAAACTCAGTGTAAATCTCCGAAATGAATGTACGTTTCGCCAATTTAAATTTCTCAGATTGTCAGTGAGAGATCTCTGATCTGAAATGTTTTTTCCTTAACTGTGACTTAAACTTTATTTAATTTGAAACCTCATTTTGAATCACGCTTAATAGCCGGCGCACTTTGAGTTCCCACAATTCGAGGAGTCACCCTGTTGTCGCTCGTTGGTCGAATGACGTCAAAGACGCGTCGGGCGATTCCATTAAAGGATCGTTGTAACGTGCTCCGTGAGTAGAAGTAGGAATGAGTCGGCAAAGTTTAATCAAAACAGTTGGACGCCAGATCTTCCTCCACCCCGAAAGTATCCGGTGGGGTCCAGTGGCGCGGCGTAGCGTGCTTTGCGATATATCGATTGATCTATCATTTAAACCTGTAGAAAAGGATCAATAAACAGGGTGTTTGCAACAAACACATTAATAACCGATTCTTTACCATAGCTTGAAATGAGAAAATATCGATAATCGATCATTGACCACTGGAAAAAAAAACACATTGGATCTAGAGTCCAGACTCTTAAAAACATCGACAAGAAAAAGTACCCTTGATTCAATCAGAATCTAGCTTAAATCAAGAACCAAGCCTCTTAATTGAAGCGGATTTCGTTTCGATTCAAGCAAAAATCCGATTGAATCAAGAGTATTTTTTCTTGTCAATGCTTCAAAGAGTCTGGACTCTAGATCCAATGTGTTTTTTTTTTTTTTTTCCAGTGATGTACTCGCTGAGGACTCATTCCATTGAACGGACGTTGGTGTGCGAAGCTGTATATTTCCCCTCTGTGAAGCACAGAGAGAAACTTTTGGGGTTTCTAGTTTAAAGACCGGGTATGAATCAGCATAAAATTGGTGACTAGAAAAATCTCGAAAGATCATGCCGAATGGAATATTATTGTCATCATACCGGTACGCAAGCCATGACGGAGCACTTCATTTGACGAATTAATTCATGCTTAGAGGATATCGAGTAGTTATGCTGTTTTGAAATTCCTTTCGGCTGGAAATTTTGGCACAGTTCATTTTATTGGACGTGGACAGAAAAAAATTCCACGCTGGATTCAGGGCGAGCAAAAAGAAATGATTGCGTCCTCTACCGGTACCGCCCAGTCTCTGAAAAAAGTGAAGAATGGGGGACAAATGGGGCGGATTTTTTTTTTTGAAAATAGGTACTTTTCCCCTCTGATCGGCTAGAATCTACCCCTGACTTAGGGACTCGGTTCATTTTTCGTCTAACTGTAACCATGCTGTAGAGACTGAAGCTCTTAGAAGGCGCTTTTCTCTGCGAACGCCATTTCCCGCCATTATTTTAAAACGGACAAAAAGATCACATCTCTAAAATTTTAGAGCCTGTTCTTGAAAAACTTATGAAGAAACAGCCTATTTATAAACGGTGAACACAGACGAAGGACGGTATATGGCGTCGTTCCCCGCATGTGAATGGAAAATCCGTCTGCGAATTCGGTGGGTGACTCGATCGCTACTTTTTTACTTCGGCGTTTGAGTCTCCAAGAATAGTCACTTTGAATGGGAATACTTACGCTTTAGTAGATGAATTTTTGGCGATGGAGATGATTTTGACTATAATATAATAGCATTGTGTCGAAATATTTTTCATCCTTACTTACCTACAACGATTTGTCTTTGTGATCTTGCAGAGGACATGAAATGCCGGCTGAAGATCAAGCATGAATTGGAGAAGAAGGCTGATGGGAAAGAGTACATCAAGTTCACCCAGGTTCAATTCATCATTGATGACGTCAAGCACGTCAGATATACCCTGCACAACCTCTTTAACGGTGACAAACTGCTAGGTAAGTCTATTATTTCAGTGTAGCCGCTTCAAGACGTTGAGAAGTATAGTCTAATATTTCATGAAAAATCCTAAAATAGGTGCGACAGTCGCGGTTGCAGTATTTCAAAATCTTCGCTCCAATCTTATTATTGGAGGAAGATCGAACCAACATCGTTGCTTGAAAATTTCACAGAATATTCTTCAGGAGAAAAATAAATATATAGCACCGAACTTTTCATAAAATGGCGTGTAGTTTTCGATGCAGAAAATAAAAAAAAAAATGACGAGAAGTCTGCGACACCGCAAACCGAGATACGCAGAACGCACTGTTGCTGTTTTACCATCGATACGTTACTTATGAAAAAAAAAAAACATCGAAGGTGGTTTATTAAAGAGGAAATCCATACTTCCTGCTATGATTTCTATACCTATTAACTCACATTAGGAAAAAAAAACAAAGAAACGTGCGAACTATTTTTACTGTCGTGAGAGTTGCATACGCTTCGCTTTGAAGGAGATTTTCATGGAGCGGGCGTATGCTTGCGAGTTAAAGAACAATTTAGTTCCCCAATTTAACTCCTCTTTTTTTCAACTATTTCACAAGAGAGCGAAACAGTTGTATATTTCCGGTTTTAGAGGATATTTTCTCCAGAGTGAAATCATTAATACGTAATACTCTTCTGCACCTTTCCCCCACTAATTAATCAATGTTATTCCGGTGTGAAATTTTGAAGCTTGACTGCTTTTTTGACAAAGCGTTCCAACTACCCAAGTAGCGCAGATTGCAAAAATTGTAAAAATATTGCGATTCCATTAAGTGTTGTGTATGTTGCCTAGCTCCTATTTGAAGGGGCCCCATTTATTGAAACTTATTCCAATACATAACATTGTAATAAGTTGCAATTTTTCATTGCATTGCATATTGCCGATCTTTCTGACACATGGAGCTCATTTTGTCAATTGTTTAAAATCGTCATAAATCGATTAAATGATGTAAAATTATTGCAATTTAAAAGTAAAAAAACAATTTTTTTGAAATTGAATTGCAATTTAATTTCAATATTTTCGTTGCAATATGCTAACTTGGGTATGAGAGTTCTTTGTCTGTTGGAGTCTAACTTATTAGAATTCATTTTATGTAAATTTTTGTTAAATTTGAGTTCCTGTCTATCACTGCATTACCATTCAGTGTATTTGATGCACAAATAATGAATAGCTTCCCCTCATAATTGACTTTTTTGTTATAGGTGGACAAATTCTGACATTCATCAACCAGGCCTGGCGCGAAGTGTTCGAGGAAGTCAAGCCCGGCATTGAGCAGACCATGTCAGAAGTTATCAAGTACCTTATCACACCCCTCACCCGTGTCCCATATGATTACATCTTCCCACCTTCATAAACTTACTCCGCATCTCTTCCTGATTCATCATACCAAAGCCTTCTGCCATCATACTCATGATGGTCTCAAGGGGAACTATATTACGAAGAATTTTGGTTAAAATGATTACATGCTGGCAAATTAAGCCCAAGGAAAAATGGCTGCAAAGAATTTCTTGAAAAAAGAAAAAAAAAGTAAAATCGCTCTATTTCTTCTTTCGATTTTCATCAGTTCCTCCGGACTTTGACTGTAAAAATCTTTCGATTGTTACTAGCCAAAGAGTACGAAACTTCAGCACTCATAGGTATTCATGTTACTTTAAAAAACTTGTAAAAATCATAATGTACTCTTTGTTACGCTGCTGAATTAGATTACTTTTCTTTCATTAGATAAATATTACAAAATATATAATGCAATTTCGAAAAGAAGACGTAAAAGGACTTCGAAGTCACCAGAAAATTAAGAAGAGAGAAAAGTAAAATAAAAATCTTGGAATTAAGATGGTCCAAAAATATTCCAAGAATTTGCAAATCCCAATGAACATTTGTAATCAAGATTGTTGTTTGTTTAAGATGTAACCATTGATATACGAAACAAACATGTGACAGAATATCAATCAACTAACCATTTTTGCTCGCAAGAGAAGCAAAACTATTAGAGTGCATTACTCAGAAATCCGGAACAAAATAAAGAGAGGAAATCAAAATTGTTATCTGGCTTAAATGGACAGAATTCGGACCAAAAAAAGAGAGTAAAGAAATATATAGGTACACGAATATCCGTTTGCGCAAAAACTTTATGCCGGTAAAGAGAGACTTACTCCGTGAGTGCCTATCAACTTCAGATTTATCTTACAAGTTTATGCAATGGTAAACTTGATTATGATTTTGCTTGATTAAATTCAAGTCACAACTCGATACTCTGTGATAGTTGTTTCCTAAACGTTATGAAAAATTTTCGATTTTTTTTCCATGTGAAAATTTTTTCAAATATCCTTAATTATTGATCAAATGGAGGATAAATGATTTGCACAAATAAGAGCATGCATATAAAAATAAGAAAACATTCGGTGAAGTTAGAATAAAGAACTTAAGTTAATGAAGTACATGTACTAAGAACTTCAATTAGAGAAATTAAGGCTCTTTAAATGATGTCAAAAAGTGAGACTTCCTATTCGCATGAAGATTGTCTGATTTATCTGAGACCAGGTCTTATCACTTTAATACTAAGGCAGACCTTTTAATGAGAGAAAAATGATTTTATAAATAAGTATGTTCAGAAAGTGAGCCTTAAACACCTGAGTTCGTGTTTTCATAAGAACTGTGCGAGTGATTGATTCTTATTCTGAGTAAAAATACATGGAAAAAGTATGAGAAACCAATTCAACGATACAAATTCCTACACAGGAATAATACTCATGTTGATGACTAGCGACTAGATATTATATGAAATTGCATTTTTGTGTTACTTTAAGTGTAAATAGTTGGGCTGTGCAATAAAAACTTTTATTTTTTAATTCCGTGTGTATGATTGAAATCTTTTAATAAAAACCCACATTGATTAATTTAAAGAAATATGAGGGCCTTGGAGGACAAGGCGCATGAGTGCAGATTTTGAAAAAATTGAGATATTCATGACTGAACTGAAACTACTTAGTTTGAAAGTTTATTCTGTGAAAAATTCATGACTAACATCCAACTTAAAAGCATCAACAAGTGAGTCAAACTTTTTTTCCGCCATAAAGATCCATGTAATTTTATTTTGAAACTTTAAACGCGTATTTCTTGAAATAGCAAAAACTGCACTTAAGCGCCTTGTCTTCCAAGCCCCTCATATGGTCAAATTGAAGATAGAACCTAGCATTGGATTGAACAGAGAAAATTGGTTTAAGATAATCATCTTAAACATGCAAAGCTTAAATTTTAGATCTCATACTTTACTATTGAGAAATGAAAATGTTTCATGCCTTGAAATTCAGCTTCAATAAGCACACTACACTGCTGACCCTGGTAAAAGACATTTTGCCATATTATGAGAATTGCAGCAAATATTGTAATTGGAAAGGCTGAAGGAAAGGAGATGCAACATTTTATGAAAATTCAAAGGGAAAGGCCACATTCGATGAAGCCAAGGTGCCTTGGAATAGAAAAGGGTTCTCGCAAGTCTCTGGTGAAGGAACGATTGACCGATTGAAAAATGGACTATCTACAAAATGCATTCTGGAATCGCATTCATGAGAAATCATTGGGACTGGGTAGTCTATTTTCTGATTGGTCTTGGGATTTAAAACGCACGAAAACAATACCATAAGAACAGCATTGAATAAATTTCCAGGGTTTTCTCAAAAAACCAACTAATTTAATCTCAGTAAAACCTTGAAAATCTTACGTTTAGAACACCAAAATGTTAATCCAGTTGATAAAATCTCAATAAACTGATCAATGTTCAAGGAAACCCAGACTAGTAGAAGCAGCATTGTCCATTTAAATACAAGTGATTTTGGAACTTCATGACAAGCAGATATTAAATATTTAGCCGTGCGAGAGCCCTCATTCGATAATAATTACTCTACTTGGAGCTGCCTGAGGAGAAATCTCCTGAACAACACTTCTTTGAAAATAAATCAAATAAAGCTGGGACCAGAAATAAATAACGATATCTCTGAGAAGAGGAAAGCCGGTATTTATCTGAAGAGATATTCAGAAATGTACTGTACAAAACAAATTTTTCATCATTAAGTGGTGTGTATTAGCTAAGAGTTTTAACTAGGTAAAATTAATCAAATTTTTGTGCAGAACGATGAAACTCCTTAAAACACAAACTAATGGTGCAATCATTCATGATAGCTTATCAAGAAACAATGATCATGAGACAATTTCAGAAAATTTTACAGCAAAAATAGAAAAGCATTGGACAGTTACGCAATTCCTTTCTTCCTTTCAAAACCATTCCATAACAATTTAATATGAATCTATCATTTAACAAACAATATATATTTTTTCATCAATGAGTGCTCAAACTGAAAATTTTGAAAATTCCATGAGATGGAAGAGGCTTTTTTGAGAATATTTAGTATCTGTTTAAAAAATTCGTAGATAGTTATGAGTTGATACAAGAGGATGGAAATTCCAAATTTCCTTATGAAAGTGAATTCTGTGAACTAGGATCACTTCTCATATTTTTTGGAGCTCATTCAATACTTCAGGATTGCGAAAATTCAAGGAATCTAAAACTTTCATCAGATAAATTGGCAGTTTTTCACTCTCTGTTTGCACACAGCTGAATTGTTGCCGTCCAATTACGAATGAAGTGACCAAAGGCACCACAGACTGGCCCATATGCGCAGATATATAAATTAGTTGAGTGCGTCTGACAATCAGGAGTAAACGAAAGTCATCTTATCTGATGTGGGTTCTAATTACTTTTTACAATAGGGGAAAATTTGATTCATTGTTCATACTTTTCAAGCTGGGTATAATTTCAACAGATGACTTACATTAATGCTACGAAATGACTTATGCCAGGAATTAAATTGAATATTTTTACGAAATTACAGTAGGTAAGAAGTCAACAGAGGAAGTTTCCATGGGGCAAATTTCGCACTCATAGATGTTATAGTATTTCAAGTGTTTATGCCATTTAGTTTCATATTCGTTGTTCTCCTCAAAACTTTGAAAAATACCTATTAAATTTCCTTCCAGATGCACAGCAACTATACTTTGTCAAATCATTATTACTTTTTGAAGAAACAATCTAGTTCACATTCTTTATGACTCCAAAGGTTTTTTATTTTACCTCAAATATTCCATCTAAGGTCCTGGTACTCAATTTAAAATGATTAATCAATGCCTCCTCACTCTAATTTCTTTCTACTATCCTCGCTCAAAACCATCCAATTGGGTGATGCTTTATCCTTAGCTAGCCAATTAAAATCATCGAGATCATTCCAATTATTAGAATTAGGGTCAAGTTTTGAAGCTTTAAAATCCTCATCATATGATTCGTAGCGCCAGGTATATGGTGCGACGCGAATATTAGTTGAATCTTCTATAATGCAGCGGCTGGTAACATGTATGTAAAAGTTAATGGAGTTGCTAGAGTGTACACGCAGCTGTTGACAAGCAACGGCAATATCGCAGTTTGAACAGTCATCCAAGAAAACTGACGTTGATACAGGACCGATCAAAATTGTGCTATCTTTAATATTGGTGATGTGGACTGTGGAGGGGGAGCCACAGACCCGCACTGTACAGTTGCTTAAATTAGAAAGGCTGACATCTTTCTGAAAACAATCAGTGCCATGCAAGATTAGCGATGTGTTTTGCTGATCCGAAAAACCACATTCATTGGCAAAAATTAGACTTGGAGCTGACACACAGCTATCGACCTCATCCTTGGGGGCAAATTTAACATTTTTGGTACTTGGTTCTGGCTTTCTATTTTTGAAGCTGAACCTTTTCTTTGGAATAAGCTTGTCACGTGAAACCTGCAATTTTTCCTCTAACTCAAAAATAGCTGCTTGGTACTTTCGTAGTTGAAATTGTGGAAGGGCAATTGTAAAGTGAGAGAAAATGGTTTGAAGATGTGTAAGCTCATGCGATATCTTATCAAAATGACCTTCAAGGTCTGAAGAGTCGATACTACCATTTTCTGCATCTTTCAGAAAATTTTGGATTATCTTTTGTCTTTCTTCAAACTCTTGAATAAACTTATCGACACCTGTGATTTCAGCAGCAGCTAATTTCTTCTGCTCTTTTTCAGCTAAGCGCTCAGCCTGCTTTTTTACCAGTCTATCAGGAAGTTTGAAACCTTCCATTTGGATTAGTATCTTATATTTAAAACAAAATTAAGGAATATAATTACTATGCTAAACTACTACTAAACCAACTAAAGAGTATTGTTATACTGTATTTCCAAATGCTAGGGGGCTCCTTTATTCTGGACTGACATTTCCAGGAATAGAGTTTTCGATATGTTCCTTCATCCGATACCTTCAATCACCTAAAACAAAAAAAGGCAAACAAATTTCAGACTGACGAAAAGCTTTGCGTTATCCTAAAAATATTATGGGAAACCAAATAGTTGAAGCTTTGCTTTCTTTGAGACACTTTATACTCTGCAAGAACAATTTTTAAAGGGATAAAATGCGTGTTAGTAAAATGTCATTATTTAATTTTTGACTTACACAAAAGGGGCAGTGGCAAGGAATTTTTGCAGGGTTCTGATGCGATTTCTCTATAGTAAAATGTTGTTTGAAAAAAACCAAAAAGTTCATTTAAAAGTTTGAGAGAGTGTTTCTAAGGGGCGAAAAAGCTGATCAAAATCCAACCAATCAAAAATTGCCAGACAAGTTGACATAGCATGGCAATATCTGAAGCTGAGTTCAGTAAATCAACAAACACCGTTTCCCCTGTCTAGCTATGTCATCAAGGCCTGCAAAAAATGTAGTTTCAAACAGGTCCCAAGACGGTAATTGAGGACACCGCACCAAGAACAGCCTATAGGCGTATAGGTTGTTATTACGCCCATCTGCTTTTCGGATTCTACGTACCCTGGACAATGCTGTGGCAGCGATAGAATATAGATAGGTAACGGCTCGAGGTCGAAAAACCTTTTTTTTCCGAGTTAAGTCAGGCCTCTGGATCGATGGGTGCAAGAACGACCTATACGCGTGGCCTTATCATTCTCGGTTCGCGGGCATCGGCGCGGCGCGGCAATAGTGATGACTCGATTTTTTTATCTCATATTATAAAGATTTGTTTTTATTTCAGAAAAACGAGCTATTGAAATAATTTGTTCTCCTCTCGAACTATCCATTCCTCTAAAAATGTATACTTCGCATATTGCCACCAAAATGACTGTTGGGCGTAATACGGGCCTATAAACTTAAGGGCATATAAGGTGCTAGTTACCCCTTTCTATACTCACTATCGATATTCTTTCATTTTGCGTTAATCATGCGTGATTAAAATGATTTATACTTCATATTGCCACCAAAATGACTGTTGGACGTAATAATGACCAATAAACCGCTTTTTTAAATTAAATATATTGGAGTGTAAACCCAAAATGTATCGCAAAAGTTACTTGGCATCCTTCAATAGAAGGGTTAGGTCACCCAAAAACACCAAAACAGGGTACCTGCATAGAAAAGTCTGCGCAGTACATCAAAAACAAAACTTTAAATGCGTTTTTCTCAAAACGTGGTTTCCAGTTATAGGCTGTTCTTGGTGCGGTGTCCTCAATTTTAAAACGGATTTTTTTTTTATTATTTTTTTTGACATCAGAGATTACGACACATCTGAAAAATTCCGAGAGGCTTAGTTCACTCTATAATCCTAGAAAATTAATTAAGAACAATTGGTACCACTGACCCATTATCTAGAAATCTGGGTGAAATGTAGTGGGTAGTTACTCTTCCCTCCCCTTTGCTTAGTTTTTCAAACAAAAAAATTTACTTAATTTTATTCACTCATCAATTATATTCATTTTTAGAAAGAACTTCAAAGAGTAGCAATCATTAAGACTGCGAATTAGCTCCAATTTTTTGCACACAGGAGATATTACATTTTCTGATATTATCACAGAGAAGAGGCAACATATTTTGGTACGACTCAATCATATTTTAATGTAAAAATTGATAATGTTTACTAAGATTCCATACAAGAGGTTCATGAAATTCAGTCATACAGGTTTCAACGAAGGTAATCAAAATATTTGTTGTAACAAAGTGCTTCACAGGAGGGCTAAAAACACATAATAAATACGGATACGTTTCGGCTTAGGACTGATCCATTTTCAGTCGAAAAAAACACTATAAAATAAAAATGGATTTGGAATTAACCTGATATCTACATGATGGTGATCAAGAATAACACACAAAAAAATGGGAAAAAAAAATGATTTTTTTTTTTTCGTTTTGTTATTCTCGACCACTATCTTGTAGATCTCGGGTTTTTTCGAAATTTTTTATATTTTGTAGTGTTTTCCTCCGACTGAAAATGGCTCAGTTCTGAGCCGAAATGTCTTGGTTTTTAGTATGTATTTTTATCCTTGTTTCCTATTTTTCTCCTCTTGTTTTTTCATGTCACCATTGTCACAGGCTTCTGTGTAAAAAATTTTGTACCTACTTCACAAAAAGAAGGGTTCCAATTAGTTTTTCATGATTTTGTTTCGGATTAATAATTTTAGAAGGAGAAATTCTGATCAAGTTTTATTTATTTTTTTTATTTATTTATTTTTTTTTGCTAGTTCTTCTCCCCTCCATAATTTGACGGCTAAATTACCTTCTGTATATTTATGTTCACAGATGCAAACTAAAACAACAACCTAATTTAAGAAAAAACTTTGATAAAGCTGAATGAGCTGGATGGTGGGACCAAGTCCATTTTCAGAAATGCAAGGGAAAAAAAAGATCCACTCTGAATGAAATCGTGGGAGCACAGCAAGTTCATTCTTTTTTTAATTCGAATTGTTATTTTGATCATACAGGATGAAAGATAGAAAAGAATACAAACCAACTGAAGCAGGAATCAAGGGAAACTAAATAAGATTGTTTGCCTTCCAATGCTGTAAATCAGATTCTCGACACTTAAAATCTTTGTCCCTTTCTCCAATCAGATAGAACTCTGCAAACAACAATTAAAACATAATTTCTGCAAAAAGGAACAGAATATTGAGATTTTTATGACCAAAAGAAGTTCTGATCACTGCATTTTACCTCAGAGAAAAATTTTGATAGTGAAACATACATTTTTATGTATCAATATTTAAACTACAGAGAGGAGAGCACAAATGTGCGATCAAATTATTCAAAATGTAAAGAAAATACATCAAAAACATTAAATGAAACCAAACCTCAGAATGAACTTACTTAATTTACAGTACGCATTTATTTTTTTATTTTTGCTGTATTGTACTGGGTACTCCGCAACTTAGATACCCCAAGGAAATACCTCATTCATCACTTTGCCTGTTCACCTGATGACACAAAAAATATTTCATATTCCATGGTTCCTGACAGATGCCAATCCCAGCCAGTATGCGATGCATCAGTTTGGTTGAGCCGACTATTTCTCCTAGGATCTCCATCTAATTCTCCCCAATTGATCACAATTAAAAATATAATGAGTTCGTCATTCAGTCAGTCTTTTAAATGTTATGATATCCGAGTTGGAGGAAACAAAAAGTCTCAAACTTACTGTCCAAAAGAAAATAACAGTGCTTGTACAAGAACAATCTTGCCTCTGAAAAAAAAATGAAACATTTGAATAATTACAAAATTTAGGTCTGTAGCTTGAAATATTGAGAATGGGTATTACATAGATCAAATTTTACAGTTAGGGACTAAATTTTTTCTTTTTCATCCAGAACTGCTAGCAGGCTACTTACGGTGCATTATTGATGAGCTATTTGAAATTGCTTCATACTAAGTAGGTTAGACAGTACTTTGGATCAGTGAGATATGCTAATTTTGAAAGATGAGTCGGTAACTCTTCTGAGTAGCCTCACATGTAGAGACCTGGTAAGTTCTAACTAAAGATCTATGCATCTTTAAAAAGAAATACAATAGGAAAAGAGTAAACAAATGGGAGAGCAAGGTTCAAACCACGAGAAAGGCAGCTCGTATCGATCCGTTACAGGCTCATTTTCGGCTGCAAAAACAATAAAAATAAGTAAAATATTGAATGGCGATCTAATGCCAGTGGTTATCACTTAACCACGGAGTGGTTTCAATAGTTACGTCATAACAACTGGCATCATGTTGCCACTCGATAGATTATTGGTTTTAGCAGTTGAAAATGAGCTTTTGTGACGGCTCAAAATGTCCTACCTTTTTCGGGTTTTGAGCCTTGCTTACCCATTTTTTTACTTTTCCTCTATTTTATTCCTAATTTCAAGCTATTTTTTGTGCTATTTTATCATTTAAAAAGCAATGAATAGCGGAAATCTAGGAACCAGAGGATTTTGATAGTAGTGCTCAAAATCACTTTTCTCTTTCACTGGTTGAATTTGATATGAGGTTTCTAGTCCTGCACATTTTCAATCTGGATCAAAAAAGTGCTAGAACACTCGACATTAGAGGAAAACGATAAGAAAGAAATGGTTGACCAGATTTTTTAACTGACGTCATCCTCAGCTGGTTTAGATCCTTCGATAGCATGAAAAATATTGAGGGAAATGGGACAGATTTTAACTGGAAAGGCCTTGCAGCTGAACCTGAGATTGTTGCAATCTGCCACACCCTCAGTAAATACTCTGCATGAACCTCTACTATTATGCTGATTTTAGCTACTCGTGGTCGTACCTCCACTATTAGTAGGTTATTTTAATGTGATTCATCAACGTTTGAACTGGCATGCAATATATCGCATCAATTATGTGAAAAATCTTTGCAGATTTTGAATTTTAAGCCATAAGAAGGCCGAGAGCCCCTGCACATGAGCCTTCAAAATCGTTCTAAACAAAAAAAATTAGCAAAATTTAGAGCAATGAGAGCAGAATCCTGTTTGGAAAAAAGCCTCGCATTTGATACAATTTCTTAAGTATACCTAGATTTCTGTATCAAATGTGTGTATTTTTCCTTGCTACAAATCCGGCTTTTCTTATTTTGGACTTTGCCAATGTTTTGGTTCAGGTTGATTCCTCAGACTCATCGCAGAAGATATTTCTCTTTTATCTGGCTAAAAATTCAAAATCTGCCAAGATTTTTGACATATTTGATATGATATGTCAAATGCCAGTTGGACTACGTCAGAGAACCTAGACAAATGACAGTAAGGAGGCTAAGTTGTTGGTCGCAGCCGGTCGCTAATGTAAAAACCATTTTTCCTTTTGAGGTCTTCAAGAATTTAAAAAACTGTATCAAACAAAATTCTATAACATTTAAAAAAAAAATCCGTAAACTAGGAATTTATCGAGTCCTCATAAACAAATTAAACAGTTCTCTTTCAGTACTGCAATTGAATAATGCTCACCTATATCATGATTCAATTTCCTGTAACCAAGATATGAACCAGCTAAGAAGGTAAGCTCGGCGAGGATTCCAAACTTCATCCAAGTGGTCAGTGATTTTTTGTCAAGGATATTGCGTGTCTCTACTTGCTTTTCCAACATTTTTCATACTATGGACATGAAACAAGAGAAAAATATGCTACTACAAAATGAGGAAAACACAATGATCTGGAAAAAATTTAACACATGTACACTCAACACCAACTCGTAGTGAAAGGCTGAAAAAATACCGTGCATAAATGTGACAATTAAGTTGGATTAATTATTCACCTTTGAATCTTATAATAAAAGACTGGAGAAATTGAGAAAAACGATGTATTAATAAAGTTAAAATATACCTAGAAAGATAATTTCCCGTGATAAGTACCTTTTTTCTACCTTTTCTCTACGATAACGAGGTAAATATCAAACTTAACCTCAAATCTCTAATGTTGTTGTTGTGCAACTCGAAAGGCGCGAGATTTGAAATGCCGCATCTTGTGCGCGCTGTGCACTAGCAGCATTAATCATGGCAAAAAAATGAAAAAAGTATTTATTAATTTAACTTATTTAAAAGTGCGAGAGACCTTAGTGTTTTTTCTCATTAAATTTTTTTTTAATGTATTTTATTAGCATAATTATTTTATTGTGTAATAAATTGTGTTTTACAATAAGAGCAGGAGCCCTGGGAACGGAAGGTACCGTCATTCAGCACCGACCACCGACTATTTTTTCGTGTGCACCTAACTTTCTTCGTAATTTTGTGTGGGTGTGTGCTAAATGATTATTCGAGGGTGTAGAAAAAAATACTGTCTGCAATACAGTATGGGCCTCGGAAATGGTTTGCTGTTGTCGGGTTGAGAGGCCATAACATGATGCAGATATAGCATTTTTCGCGACATAATGCTCTTTTCTGTGTTAACAGGTATGAACTCGTAAATTTACGACTCCAGGGTACCCGCTATGCCCTATCAGAGAAGCCTCCAGGAGCAAAGAGGCCCTCAAATTCGGATTGTTAGGGGTCGCTTACGGCTTACCCATGAAAATATCTTTTTCCCGCGCCCCTACCTCCATTCGGAGAGCTTGAATTTTTTTGAGGATGGAATCCGTCGCCCACCTTGAGGGGTCTGTACTTTTGATACGGATGGGCCGATTTTGGATTCCTTGGTGACCATTGAAGTTAAAAATCTCCTTACTAACCGATACCGATTAAATAATTTCAAAATTTCCAACCTTAAAGCGGGAAAAAAGCACAGAACTGCCGTGCTAAGGAAAAACGCCATATGAGCATCCGAATGTTACCTATAATTTCCTATAAAATCATTATTTTTGAAAAAGTCATGAATATATTTCCTTGAATCCTTCAGACTTTTTAGATCTAATTAGTAACGAATTTTCCCGAAAAATCGGGATTTGTCGGAAGAAATTTGCCAACACCTGACAGCTCACTCGGTGTTTTTTCTTAGCACGCCACAGTAGGTCTGGGTCACCCTGTATATATTTTTTTTTTGAGTGGATCCCTCAACAAATAATCCAGGACTTTTCTGGTGCTGTGTTTTTTCTCGTTCTTCCTCTCCCCCCTCCCTCCCCCCAATGCGCTTTATTCATACTTGAACCTCTTTTTTCCCCGAAATCAGTAAAGAATGAACTGAGATACTTAGACAGTTTATGCACACATTAGCGTTTCTCCATGGTCCACGCCTTCCATCCGTTGCCGGGACTTGGCAGATTCTGGCGTCATCTGTTTATCACTCGTCAGAATATTTCTCCTCTAAATACCATATGACTCATTTGTCGCGGTGCGTTCATCCGGTTCGGGATAAGTTCGTCTCAGTAGTGACTCAAATTGCGGGGTGCACTGCCTGCATCGTTTCGCGTTTCGTCTCCTGAGTTAGTTTTTATTTTTCTTGAGGTGTTTTAAATACCGGGTTGCATAATCCTCTTCATTTCCGAGCGGGTTTTTGGTGGTGTAGTAGAATGTATAAGGAAAAAATATGTATGAAAGCTAGATACCCTTCAGCCCTTCAAAGTTCCATTGAACTCTGTCCATTTCTAAAAAATTTACTGTACTTTAAAAAATCTGCGTTAATGTCGGACTTTATCAAACTTATGTTAGATTTAGAGATTTTTATTTATTTATTTCCATTTCTTCTTAAGGCGGTACATCTGACTAGTTTTCCAGAAATATTTGAATTAATTTTTGCATGAGCCTTTTTTAAAGTATCAGAATAGCCGAGGACTGCTCACTTTCGTAGGTATGAATGGCCATCTATGAAAATTACCTATCTTTCTGCAGTTAACCAAATCTAAGGAGATTTTTTTTCAAAAATCCATCTGAGAAAAATTGATTTGCCCGTCACAATTCTAAACGTCCGCAGTGACAAACGCCTCAAAAAATATAGATTCAGTTACAATCGACTAATCAATGAGCTATCACTTTTTTCGTTTTTTTTTTGTTTTTTGTTTGTTTTTTGATTCCGTTCTTAATCGTATTTCATTTTTATTAATGTTTTGTAGAACTTGCAAAGCTTTGGAAAAAAGTAGCTTTGAAATGAAGTCCACACACTGCTAGTAAATAAAATTACTTAAACGGTCCCTTTTCTTCTGAATTTTTTTGGAGATATTCATCTGTTAGCTTTAAGCTTGAATGTAGTTCCCTGCATACGTGACCGATTCGTGCAGTGGTAGTACATCCTGCCAACTAAACAAAGTCACGGGCCTACTTATTCCCACAAGGACCACAATTAATTCTTTGCTAGCACTGCAGCGAAACCGCAGCACGTGGCGCATTGGTAGGGTATCCTTGCTTTTGCTTACCTCGAATTCCATCTGGATAATGGACCACTAGACAAGGTACGAATTTAAGCACTCAGATACATGTTTCTTTTGCAGAATTTCGCGTAAAACACGATTCGCGTAACGAAAATTACTGAAACCAACTCCTAACGAAGATATTAACGTTTTTATTACACATTGCTTACGCGGATTTTGAACTGCCCGCTCACAAGAAACTCAAAGCTCTACGTGAGTCAAATCGTGCACCAGAACGGTTTCAGCAAACTTCTCAATCAAGCGATGTTCATTTCCCACCACGTGCTGTTCAAACTATAAACAACTTGCAATAGCTGAGCTAAAGCGTCAAGATTAAGGTTGCCAGATTTTTATATCGCAGAGAGTGTCATGATAACGTTTAGCGCGCGATGTGAGTCACGTAGAGCATTGAGTTTTCATGAGCGGGTGGTTTGAATTCACGCATCAAGAATCATTAAATATCTTCATAACGAGTTGATTTCGGTAATTTTCGTGGTGCGCGTCGTGTTTTACGTGAAATTCTGGTCAAATAACATGTATTAGAATGCTTAAATTCGTACCTTGTCTATTGGTCCATTGATCAAATTAAGTCGTCTACCTTATACAATCTAACGGAAATAACGCCCAACCCTCCAACTACTAAACCAAATGCCCGCCGTTTCCATTTTTTCCGCTAAAAATACGTAGCTGGGGGTTCCGTCTTATAATCGTCTCAGAGATGCACAGAGAAAGAAAATCTCTTATCTCACATGAGATTATTTGGGCATGACTCCACGGTGGTGCGGATTGCGTGCGTTAATTTGAAGGCGTTATGATAGAGCCATGGCAACGTCATGATAATGGCAATGGCTTGCGCTCAGAAACAGACTGGTGTTGTGCTTGTGGCCGGCGCAAAAAGCGCAGGCGAAAATTGGAGCCTACGAGAGGAGATGACTTGAAGCAAGTGCTCGGAGTCGGACAACTGAGAAGAACGAAACCTGGTACTTCTTCGGCTGCAGTCCAGAGATCTTCTTCATTCAGATACGATGTTGTCAGATCTAGCAGCTTTAACAGGTGACCAATTCTTATTTATTATTTTTCATCCAATCGGCTTGTGAATATGTTGTAAGCCCATTCAGAATATAAAGCAAAGCATGTGCATGTTGCAAGCAACAAAACATTGAAACATCAACACCCTCGCGATAAGAAAACGAAAAAAATATCAGAGCAAAATGGATTCTTGTGATGGATTTCTCCGAGAATATATTTTAAGACTAGTTTTAGTTGGGCTCATTCATACCTCAATTTTTTAAAAAACTTCACTTATCCCACTTTTCATCCAAGCCCCTTAACAGAACTGTGCTAAAGTCGTATATATCTTTGAGATCGTTTATAATTTACGGCCACCAACTGCGAGTTTGCTCCATCTTGTTAAACTTGACACAGAGAACGAGGAAAAGTACAGTGCAAAACCGCAACTCAGACTTTGCCTATTATATTTCATGCCCCATAATTTTGTGAAATGCGTATTGGCTTTGCGAGAGTCATCCTATACTCATACAAAAATTGATGGCAAGAAAAAGTCATTTGCGCTCTCGCCTTTTCTGCAAACTCTGCGCGCGAGTAATTTTCGAGCAGCGTGTTGCCGCTGTAATATTTTGAGTGCAATCAAAATAACAGTATCAGGAAGAAACGAATACGAGTGTAACACCGCGTCAAAAAGTCACGATCAATCAATTTTTTCCCAAAACCCGTTCGAATTTGTTGTTTTTGTCAGGTTGTCTCAACCGGATTGTGCTGAAAAGCAGCAGTTTTCTCCGTTTAAGCCCATGCAAAATACATATATCCACATTTAATGGCATCACCTAGCAACCTTGGGCTGTCTCTATGATTTTCAAGATTTTCAATGCCAAGTTCATCGATAGCCTCAAAAATATCGAAATCCTGCAGTGAGACAGGAATCCAGGGAGTCCGCGATGGTTATCAAGTTCTTCTTGTTTATTCCGGAAGATTAAGACTATCTGAAATCCCACCTCAACTTTTGAGATTTTGATATACATATACTTAGTGGCTGATATCTAGCGCTAAAAATTATTTAGCTAGCCATTTTCCATGAGTTTTGGTCGGTGGCGTGCTTTGCGATGTATCGATTGATCTGCTTTTCAAACCTATGGAAAAGGATCGACAAAGAAGGTGTTCGCAACGGACACATAAATAATCGATTCTTTACCACAGCTTCAAATGGGAAGATATCGATAATCGATCATTCACGCTTCGCTACTGGTTCTGGTCCATAACCGTCTCAAAATTCAGGAGTAACAGTATTTTCTGAAAGCTTTGGGACCGTAGCTCTGGCAGGGGGATGTACTATACCGTGCCAAGGAAGAACGCCGTATGAACATTCGAGAGTGCCAATAGACTGTTTATTTTTTCAGCAATGAATATTTTTCCTTGAAATTTTCAGGAATCTTTACTTGAAATTGCTAACAAAATTGTTTCAGAAGTCGGAGGAAAAATATTCACAAATTTCTCCGAAAGTTTGTGATCAATCGAAGGAAATTTGGCAACGCCCGCCGAAGGCTCATACGGCGTTTTTCCTTGGCACGGCAGTATAGTAGAAAATGCTCGATACGGGAAGAAACCTAA